ATTATTATTTTTTAAGATTTTATTTATTTGACAGAGAGAGACACAGTGATAGAGGGAACATAAGCAGGGGGAGTGGGAGAGAGAGAAGCAGGCCTCCCGCCAAGCAGAGAGCCCAATGCGGGGCCCGATCCCAGGACCCTGAGATCATGACCTGAGCTGAAGGCAGACGCTTAACGACTGAGCCACCCAGGCGCCCCACCCCTTATGATTATTCATGCAAAAGTCCTCAACAAAATACTAGCAAACCAAATGCAGCAGTGCATTAAAAGGATTATACACCATGACCAAGTGAGGTTATTCCTGGAATGCAAGAATGGTTCAACATATTAAAATCAATAAATGTAATACACCACAGTAACAACATGAAGGGGAAAACCACATATTCATCTCAATTGATGCAGGAAAAGTATTGGACAAAAATCACATCCTTTCATGATAAAAATGCATAACAAAATAGGAATTTAAAAAACTACCTCAACATAATAAAAGCTCTATATGAAAAAACCCACAGTTAACATCACACTTAATGGGGAAAAACAAAGCTTTTCCTCTAAGATCAGGAAAAGACAAAGATGCCCACTTTTGCCACTTCTATTCCACACAGTTTTAGAAGGTCTGGGTTGGGGCAATTAAGTGAGAAAAAGAAAGAAAAGGCATCCAGATTGCAAAGGATAAAAGAAAATGGTCTCTATTTCAACAGAATAGGAAATAGGAAATATGCCACCAAAAAACCTATTAGAATAAACAAATTCAGCAAAGATGAAGGATACAAAATCCACACACACAAATCAGTTTCATTTCTATACACTAAAGATAATCCAAAAAGCAATTTTTAAAAATTCCATTTGCAATGGAATAGCATCAAAAAGAACAAAATACTTGGGAATAAACTTAACCAAAGAGACTAAAGACTTGTGCACTGAAAACTATAAAATATGACTGAAAGAAATTAAAGGTGATGACATGAAGGGGGGGAAATCAGAGGGGGAGATGAACCATGAGAGACTATGGACTCCGGGAAACAAACTGAGGGTTTCAGAGGGGAGGGGGGTAAGAGGATCGGTTAGCCCAGTGATGGGTATTAAGGAGGGCATGTATTGCATGGAGGACTCGGTGTTATACGCAGACAATGAATCATGGAACAGTACATCAAAAACGAATGATGTACTGTATGGTGACTAACATAATAAAATTAAAAAAAAAAGAAATTAAAGACGACTTCAATAAGTAAATGGAAAGACATCCCATATTCATGGATAGGAAGGCTTAATGTTGTCAAGATGTTATTACTACCCAAACAATCCACGGATTCAATGCAGTACCTATCAAAATCCCAACAATGTTTTTGCAGAAATAGAAAAACCCACCCAAAAATTCATATGGAATCTCAAGGAAACCCAGATAGCCAAAACAATCTTGAAAAAGAACAGAGGTGGAATTCTCATGCTTCCTCACTTAAAAACTTACTACACAGGTACAACAAAACAGTGGCATAAAGACAGACAAATAGACCAAGGGGATAGAGAGCCCAGAAATAAACCCTCCTGTATATGGTCAAATTATTTTTGACAAAGATGCCAAGACCATTCAGTAGGCAAAGAAAGGACAGTCTCTTCCACAAATAGTGCTGGGAAAACTGGATAGATACATGCAAAAGAATGAAGATGGAGCCTTACCTACCATGTACAAAAATTAACTCAAAATGTACGAAAGACCTCAATATAAGACCTAAAACTATAAATATACAAATGGCTAACAAGTATTTGAAAAGATGCCCAAGGTCACCAACCATTAGGGAACCACAAAACAAATTACCTTGAGATTCTACTTCACACCCATTAGAATGCCTATTTGCAAAACAAACCAACCCAGAAAATAGCAGGTGTTGCAAGGTTGTGGAGAAACTGGAATCTTTACATTAACTGACAAGAATGTAAAATGGAAAACAGTATGGAGGCTCCTCAAAAAATTAAAAACAATTATCATATAATCCAAAATTCCACTTTGGGGATATACACTAAAAAGAATTGAAAGCAGGAACTCAAACAGGTATTTGGACACCAATGTTCACAGCAGCATTATTCACGGTACCCAAGAGTTAGAAACATCTAATGTCCTTTGATGGATGAATGAATAACCAAAATGTGGGAGAAGGAGGGAGGCGGAGGGAGGAAGAAGCCTATGGTGACTCATGAACACCAAGTCCCGGGCTTCCAGGAAGAGGAGGAAGCACTGGGCACGGAGAGGAGGAAAAAGTCCTGGGATCGAGCCCCACGTTGGGCTCCTTGCTCAGCGTGGAGTCTGCTTCTCCCTCTGCCTGCTCTGCCTGACGCTCCCCCTGCCTGTGCTCTCTGACAAATAAATAAGTAAAATCTTAAAAAAAAAAATGAAAAGTATCAAAAAGCACTACTCACCTTTCCTACTAGTTATGTGCTAAAATTTTCTATTCTATAGTTTTCTAAAATAGTGGACATGATCCACTAAATGGATTCACCATCCATCCACTAATGGCTTGGTCCCAAGAGTCCCCAGGACTCTTAGTGGTCCCCAGGAGTGTTAAAGACATACCAGTACCAGCCTGAGAGCTTCTCCTTGAACTTCTTAAGACTCAAAAGACCCCTGAAAAGGAAGTTACTTTTTCAAGGGGCGATTCGATGTTATTTCACACTGTATCAGTCAACCCCACCAACAGGCATGCTGTCCCACTCTCTAGAACACTGACTGGGGATTCTGCCTGGTGGGAGACGGGGCTGTCCTCTCTCTAGGAGAGCGGAGGGCCAGTGGGCTTCCTCACTGCCATCCTGCACACACAGGATCAGGTTCACGGCCCCAGTCAATAACCAGAAGGTTCGTCAGGGGTGGACGGGTCTTACATTTCTGAATCACAGGATAAGCGCCCTGGGCCCTACACATCTGTCTAACTCTGTTAGTATTCTGTAGCTGCTGTAACAGATCAGCACAGACCTTGTGGCTTAAAACACTAATATTCTCTTATAGCTCAAGAGGCCAGAAATCTGGAATCCATTTCACTGGGCTCAAGTTGTCAGTAATGCTGGTTCCCTCTGGAGGCTCCAAGAGTCTGTTCTCCTGCTCTTCCCAGCATCTGGTGGCCACCTACACAGTTGGTTTGGCCCTTTCCCTATCTCCAACATGCACTGCTCCTCTCTGGGTCCATGAGCACACCTCCTTCTCCTCCCACCCTCCCGCCTCTCCTTGTAAGGACCCTGTGATTGCACTGGGCCCACCCAGATACTCCTGGGTAATCTCCCCATCTCAAGGTCCTTAGCTTAATCATACCTGCAGACCCCCTTTGCCGTATGAGGTAACACATTCAGAGGTTCGAGGGACAGGAGGGGACATTTTAGGGGCCATCATCCAGTCGGTTGCAATAAACAAGAAGGACTTAAGCAGGCAGATCCCGGCCAAGGCAGAGCCAGGAGCCGAGAAGAGCTCTCGCCTTGGGTGGAGATGAAGGCCCAGGTCAAGGTAAAACCCCACATGGATGCTGGGGCCCGAGCTGAGGCTGACTCAGAGGGAGCAAGCCAAGGCTGGAGGAAGATTCAGGATCTTTGGTTTCAGCTGACATGGAGGTAAACAAGAGCCCACCCAGGGGAGCGAGGAACGGCGGAGGACCAACGTGTGGGCGATTGGCAACAACAGGTTTATTTCAACGAGAAGTCAACGGGCACAGAAGGTGATGTGACAGCCCTAGGTGCTGAGGCTTCTCAGGGTGTGGGATGAGGCTGGCGGGCCAGGTCTGGCCACCACCCAGGAAATGTAGCCCGGCAACTCTGGGAAGGTCACTGGCTTCAGCTCCTGGCTCAGCACGGGCCTCCAACAGATTAGTAAGTGATTTCCTTCAAACCTGAGGGAAGGAAACACACAGACGCTGTTAAGAGACTCACACCGTAGAGCAGAGCAAGCAGACTAAGGTGGGAGAACAAGGCCCTCCCGAACCCCAGGCCCACGGCCACCGGCTTGGGAACACAGGCCACATACCTCCTCACGCAGCTCTGCTCTATTGCGTGGCAAGAGGAGATCATCCACAAGGAAGCAAGGGGTTGGACGAGGCTGTGTTTATGGGGGTTTCGAAGGGATTCAGAAAGCACTGTCACAGCTTATGGGCTCTGCAGTTAACTCCAGAAGTCTACCCACTCAGCAATGAGCCCCGAGCAAATGCAGAGACGGGCGATCTTCACCTCACATGTACAGTACTGACATCACACAGCAGCCCCCGACAGAAAAATGTTCCCGGTGTTGTTACTTTATAAAAACTAGAACCAGCTTAATAGGATTACAAAAGAGCTACATTTCCAAAAGTGTGGCAAAGTTGAGTCAATCTGGACATAGTGTCATGACAGAAGTTTTATAATGCCGTGAAAACTATGCTCACTGAGCGTTTCTCACAGCGAGGGGAAACGGCTGTTAGGATACTTAAGTGGAAAAGATCAGGACTCCAAGTACATAAGCGCAGAAATTCAATTCTGCTAAAAAGAAAACATAGCTAGAAAAAGAGTGGAAGGAAAAAGCTACCAGATCTTATCTCTGAGTGATGGGCACGCAGCTGATTTTTCTCTTCTTCACTGGACTTTTTAGAAGCTTCCAAAGTCTCTATTAAGGATGACGTTGTTTTTAAAATTGGGGGTGTGCGTGGGTAACAGTATAAAACCCCACTAATAAATTCTCTTAAATAAAAAGACAAATTTAAAAGGATTTTGTGGGCTGAACTGCTGGGTAAATTTATAAACTACTGGATGGCTAAGCCCCAGGGGGATGATTAACAGCCTCACGTCAGCATGGAATGTTCGAGTGGGAGGCCGCCCTTGCTGTGTCATGTTCTGTGTTTTGTCTGGGCTCCCTGCCTAAGGCTGTATGTCATTGGACGAGTCTGCAGGACGCCGTCCACGGGACACCTGAATGGCGGCTACTCCAGTTAAGGTCACACTGGGATCTCAAATAGTCTCCACGGGGCCGGAGAGATGCCCAAGGGAGGACCCCGGAGGAAGCAAGACCCACGTGGGGCAGCTGTAAAGGAGGAACTGGGTCAAGACCGAGGAAGCGAGTAACACTGAACAAGGATCCACGCTCCCGCCACAGCCCTCCTCTGCCAGGCGAGGGGACTTCACCTTAATCACAGAAGGTAAGGGGAGAAATGTGACCCACAGCTGCATGGGTTTGCTGGAGACACACAGAATGATTTGTGTGCCTGACCTCTAGGAAACCTGGTTATAAGGTGATTCAAAAGACAAACATCGGTTACTTTTATTAAGATTACTGCTCTAAACTCTCAAGGTCTCTTCCCCTCCAACAGAGGAAACGCCCGAGGAGACCTCTAAAGGGCTGTGGGTTTCTTAGTGCTGGTACACGTGATTTACCTGAACGATTCACCTGGTCTCTGTGCTACAAAACCAGAGGATACAACAGCTCATTTTCTGCCTATTGCTCTTGGACACATGCATCCGATACTCTAGTTCTTTCCAGGCATGCCTTATGGAGTTTGGAGACAAACAGATCCCCACTTCTAGGGCAAATCAACAAAAGTAAAATCACGTACCTAGTGCATGTCCTCCTTTGGTTGCCCAACAAAGGCAGTAATGCTGCATGAGCTGTTCGAGAAGCTCCATTTCATCCAGGAATTCAAGTGACTCTATTCTGTGGGGAGAACAAAAGTAGGACAATAACAAGCTCTACAATTAAAAATGAAGATGATGACCCAAAGTTTATGAATATGGAAAGATGTTCATATCATACTAAGAGGAAAGAAGAAGAGGGTGCAATATAGTATGTATGGTGGGGTTCCATTTTATCTTTATTATAAAAATAATACCATAAATAAAGTCAAAAGACAAATGACAAACTAGAAAAAAACTTACACAGAAATGACAAAGGGTAGATTCCCTGCTCTGTAGAGAGTTGTTATATTTCATGAGAAAAACTTTTAAAACTCACTTAAAAGACAGGTAAAAGACATATTCACCGAAAAAGAAAAATAAGACGCTCTCAATCTCATTAAAATACGAGATACTTTTTCAACTATCAGATTGACAAAGATCAAAAAAAGGCTGATATGGACTTTAGCAAGGACATGGGGGAAAGGTGCTCTCCTGCATTACTAGTCGGATTACAAAATGGTACAACCTCTCTGCACGCAACTTGATCTCCTCTATCAATGTTGAAAATGCACATCCTTTTACTCAGCAATTCTGCCTTTAAGATTTTACCCTATGAGGGGTGCCTGGGTGGCTCAGTCGGTTAAGCGTCTGCCTTCAGCTCAGGTCATGATCTCAGGGTCCTGGGATCGAGTCCCACGTCAGGCTCTCTGCTCAGTGGGGAGTCTGCTTCTCCCTCTTTCTTTGCCCCTCCCTTAGCTCGTGGTCTCTCTCTTGCTCTTTTTCTCTCTCAAATAAATATATTAAAAAATTTTTTAAAAAAGATTTTACCCTATGAGTACAAAGAGGTACGTTCCAGAATATTCACTGCAGCATCACAGCATAAAACCTTAAACTAGAAGAGCTGGGTTAAATAAATTAAAGCACATTCATACAATAGGACAATATGCACCTATCTGAAAGAATGGAATAGGTCTATATGCCTTGACACAGAACAGCCTCTAATGCTTACCACAGAGTTCAAAACCTAAGTTGTGTAGTAAATAATGTGCAGGGCATACTATTATCTATGAAAGAAAAAGTGGGGGATATACACGTTTGTATATGCATAGCTCTCCTCTGGAAAATACAGAAGAAACTGGTAATGGTGCTTGTCTCTTGAAGGAATGTAGTAGACTGGTAGTGAGGGGAACAGGATTGAAGGGTTGGTTTTTGTTTTTATTCTACATTACTTTATTCTGTCTGTTTTCTTTTATCATGTGCTGGTATGATTTCTTTTCAAAAAAGCATTTAAAATGTAAGCTTTAAAACATACGCACACACAAAGAAATATGCAAAACATATAAAATAGCTTAAAAAATTTTTTCTGTTAAAATATGGGCACACTGGGGGAAATTTCAGGCATTTCCAAAAAGTATTAAGAAGAAAATTTAAAATGATCCATATGTCCACTATTCATAATAGTCACTGCTAACATTCAGGTATTGCCATTAGTCCAGGCTGGGGGTGGAGGGAGGGGCGTACATATGTGCATTTGCTACACACGTTTCTGTATTTGTGTTTTTGTTCCTGTCTTGGTAGGCAGGCCTAAGGGTCACATCTGAACTGAGACTGACTATGCATAAGGTACTTGACTTGTCTCCCAACTCATCTTACCAGAAGACACACGAGGCAGATTTGCTTCTACAAAACACCAGCACCATAATGAAGGGTCCAGGATGTTTAGCACCAAGTTCAGCTCTTAGGAGACACTAGATTGTGAAGCCGTTCCCTAGAACATGAAACTCCAAGGCAGGTGTATCTTTTGGACCATTTTGATCTCTGTTGTACGCCTTGTGCTTAGGAAAGTACATGGTGCACAGTTGGCACTCGTATTTGTTAAATAAACAGGCTCGCCTTGGACTTAGTATCCAGCAGAAGCCCCGGGGCAAATGCAGACACAAACTACCAGGCATTCCCACACCTGGGAGGGCTGTTCGCGCACAGCCTTGGGCAGACAGACCAAAGCCCTCCCACCTCATTCCCCTCCTCTGTCAGGGATACACAGCGCTGACTACACTAGGCCATGGCAACACAAGACAAATGACGGCCTAGAAAAAAGTTGCTCCCGTGATAGCTGCCACCAGTTACGGACTCACCCCTGGGCATCCAGAAGAGCTGCTAGAGCATTTCTACTTTAGATGCCTGACCAGGGCTATTCAAAACAGCACCTAGACATGTAGCAAAAGAAAACCAGCCTGTGGGAAAGGAAAATTCTAGAAGACTACAGAAAACATGGACCCGATCACATGGAGACATCTCTTTCACAAACCGTCAAGGCCTTGATGTAAACATTTGGAAAAAATAGTCATACTTCTAAAAAATTAATAGCAACTTCTGTGGAGAAGCAAGGCCTAAAATTCTTCTGATTATCTTGTAAGAGACCTATACCTGTAGGTCCCCAGAGGCAAGAGGAAACACAAACCAGGGAGTATAAAGTAACAATAAAATAAGAACTGAATTAAAGCTGGCACGAACACTGCGCAGAGATAAATGTGGTGTTGTTTATAACAGGGAAATTAAAGCACAACAAAGTAAACAATAAGGCACAACTAAATGCCCAGCTCTATATGCTACTTTTTAATTACTATAAAATTATTATCACCAATTAATCCATCCACATAACAATATAAATACTATGCATCATTGAACAGGACACGGGAACCTTCTATATTTGGGTATATTTTGGTATGTGAAGAGAAATACAATCAATTGTTAAGTTTCTAAAAGAGGACGGTGATTTATAGACGAATGCATGTAGTATCAATCTACTAATTCAAAAACCAGAAACCTATATATCAATAAATATTCACCTTTATATACACATAGAAAAACGCACCTCAGCTTATTAACAACAGCAATTTCTGAAGGTGCAGCTACAGAGTGCGAAACTATTTTCTATTTCAGGCACATCATATGTAGCTTGAAAATTGTTTTCAAACAATCTATTTTATAATGAGGGGAGAAGTCTGTTTAAAAATCTGCGAGCAGACTTTTCCCTGAAGCCCTTGGACAACATCATTCTCCTCCTCCTCCAAAACACAGGGATTGTGCAAAATTTCCACTTGCAGAGGGTGCTCTGGGAGTGTTACAGGTGCAATTGCTTATTTTGACTAAAATAATCTGTGTTGGCATAAACCCTATCTCAGTGAGTGGCTAATGAGTTACTCTCAAGGTGCTATTAGTGGTTAGTCTGTATCAGCAGATTAACCTGTTTCAAAATAAATCTAGTTAGGGTTTGAGGGTTTGTTGTTGTTGTTGTTGTTTTTACATTAAAGACAGTTATGTCTTTAACTCATAACTGTTCACCGTGAGGCTAACTATTGGTGATCCCGCACCTGCTCACTTCAGCTTGAGGCAATCTGCTGTACAGTTCCATCATGTCGACTGCTGATGCCGTTTCCCACCCATTCGACAGGAGCCGTTCTTTCTAGAATGTGTGGTGGAGAGAAACGGAGAAGGTACAAGGCACTGGCATACAAATCCAAGACACTCTTAAAGCACATGAAAATTTCTCTTAGATGACTCCTCTTTCGGAAGCCTATCCTGGCCCCTATCTTCCTTCTTCTTATTTTCCAATTTTCTGCACCAAACATGCATTGCTATAATGGGAGAGAAGTCACTAAAGTATATATTAAAGAGAAATAAAGAAACTTCTCTAGGAGCAATAGTTTTTGAAAGCATTCGAGTGGTAATGTGACTAAGACATGTAAAATCTAACCTATTTAATGGAGGCAGAAAAAAAAAGGATATTTAGAAAAATCTATTAGATTCCAGTGGGGAGCCTGGGTGGCGCAGTCGGTTAAGCATCTGACCCTTGGTTTCAGCTCAGGTCGTGATCTCAGGGTTCTGGGATCAAGCCCCGAGTTGGGCTCCGTACTCAATGTGGAGTCTGCTTGAGATTCTCTCTTCCCGCCTCCCGCCCCCTGCTCCTCCCACACATGCTGTCTTTGTCTCTCTCTCAAATAAATAAAGTCTTCAAAACAAGGTCTATAAGATTCTAAGAAACTTCACTTGATCTTAAAACTTAAGGGGCATGTCAAATACAAAGATTGGACCATGTTTGGATCCTATTTCAAACACACCAACTATAGAATTTTTTTTTTTTTTAAACAACTCGGGAGATCTGAACACACACTGCGTAGTGTGTGCTATGAAGGAGTTCTGATTGATTTGTGAGGTGTGGCCATGGTATTACCATGATCCCAGGGGGAATAAAGTCCTTACTGGTAGGAAATTCACACTGAAGCATTTACGGGCAGAACGATATACTGTCTGGGATTTGCCTTAAAATATTCCAGTGACAACACCAACAAAAACTGGGGATAAATAAAACAATATGGACAAAATGTGAATTACTGAAATGGGCTGATGGGCACACGCTATTCCTTTTACTATTCCCTCTACTTTCATGTTGTTTGAAAATCCGCATGATGCAAGTTTTAAATCCTAGTGTACAGGAAACGTCCATGTGTATTTTCCACACCAAGGGCTTGGACTTCCCTAGCCTGATGAATTAGCGGCCCCCGTGGAGCCCCAGCTTCTCAGATGTATGAAGGGAAGGTGCCCTACCCCTGGGGGCTCAGGGCACCAGAGTCCTCACTCTCTGACCTGTGACTCTAACGACTTGCAGGTCTCCACTCCCGCCAGATCACACTGTCGCCTCCGCAGGTTCTCGATCATGATCTGTCCAAACCGGTCATCCATGTTCACCTGGGAAGGGAAAGAAGAGGCTGGGCACGGCCACAAGGGTTTCTCTGTTTCTCGAATGTGCAAAATAAGACACTACCACTCTATTTCTAACCAGTCAAGGCTGATACCCAGGGCAGGTCATGGAGTCGGTTGCAGGCACAGTACGCAGGGCTGACAAGGGCATACACTGAGACAGCCCCCAGAGAAGGGCGGCTGGATGGGCTGTGCTCGGCCCGCTAGCACGCTGTTCTGCAGGTCTACTCGCGTGCGCACACAGGGGTGCGAGAATGTTTACGGCAACATTACACATAACAGGAAGGATCTGGGAAGAAGTTAAATGCCCATCATCTGCGGTCAAAGGAATTCTGGCATGGTCATTTAATGGAACATTGCATTGCCATGAAAATGGGAAAAGAAGAGGATATACATGTAGATACAGACACAGACACAGATACGGAATGGTTTCTTAGGTAATAAACTTGAAAGGTAAGGTACAGAGGAATGTGTCGAATATGCTCCTATCTGCCTTTAAGAAAAAAAAAAACCACAACTCTGTCTACATTTATATATGCCCAGAAGAATTCTGGAATCTGGCCAAGTCGCTTCCCACGTTAGAGGGCTAAAGTCCAGGGTAGGAGAGAGACTTGCCTTTCCCTGCCTATTCTTTTGTACTGTTTGATTTTTAAAAAATTTTGCATTTTAAAAAATGATGCCCAGAGTTCCTGTGACGACGTCGCCAGACAAGACCCAGTATTACTCTTTTGGTGGATGTGTGAGGCTTGTGGGGTACCAAGGTCACACTGCCCCCTATTCCTTCAGGATCGAGGGGTGTCTGTGAATACACGCTCTGTTGTTTCATTGCCTGGGTGGATCCTGACCTGACTCTCTCTAGCTGTGAGGCTGGGTGGCTATGGGCAAGCTGCCTAATCCCTCTGTGCTTCGGTCCCCTTACTCACAAAACCTGCGGGGCTATTGTGATAATCAAGTAAGTTAACACATGTAAAACTTATGGGATGCGCCTGCTAGTCAGCAAATTCTACAAAGTTGCTATCCTTCTTACATCAGTATTGACACGTTCATCATGTATATTTATGCAGTTTTTGTCATTTTAAACTACTGATCAGAAAACCATGGAAGGCATGGGAGTAATTAATACACATGAGGATGCTGATAATTTTGTCTTTGTTAGAAAATTAAGTTAAATGTTTATTATTCACCAAGTGAGGATGGGAGGTGGGAATTGAGCCAGTTTAAGGACAGCTGTGGACAACGGAGTGAAACCTGGCTACTGTTACACCCATTCACCAGGACTGCAGACTGAGTCTGAGGAGTGCCCCCAATTAAGGAGAGGGAAGGAAGAAAACTCAACCAAGAACCACCTATACAAGAATCTGACCTGGGGCATGGGGTGGCAAAAAGGTCAACCAGGTCTAGCCTTAGATCTGTCTGTAAGTATGTTGCAGTGGGTAAGGTCTTTACTGTTCTTGTCTGTAATAAAATTTAAAAATAAAATGAGATAAAAAATAAAGTAAAATCAATAAAAGCAAAATAAAAGCAGCAATAAAAATAGCTACCGTGTATTTAGTACTTGTCACATGCACACTGCTACACATCATCTCACAAGTTCCCATAATAATCCAGAGAAGTTATCCCTTTAAAAACAAGGACCCAGGGATGCCTGGGTGGCTCAGTCGGTTAGGCGTCTGCCTTCGGCTCAGGTCATGATCCCGGGGTCCTGGGATCGAGTCCCGCATCGGGCTCCCTGCTTGGCGGGAGGCCTGCTTCTCCTGCTCCCACTCCCCCTGCTCGTGTTCCCTTTCTCGCTGTGTCTCTCTCTGTCAAATAAATAAATAAAATCTTTAAAA